GGAGTTTGGTAAAAGCGTCGATTTTTCGTACTACTGTAACAAGTCGCGAATTATCTTATCCCACTTAACCAGGGTATGCTAATGTAAAGTATCAGTGATTTTGGCAACAATGAAGTAAATGGTTATCAGGGAAGTGTGCTGATACAAACACGCAAGGCAATTTCATAGGTTCCTGAGACTTGGGATGTAATTATTTCTCTAATTGATTAAAAGGGAGTTTATTTCTATCTGTTAAACTTGCTTGTTATTTTTTCCAATTCCCTACTGGGTGGCTCTGATTAGCAGTTTCTGGGTCCTCTGGGATTTATTGTCTTAGCTGGGACTCAAATCTCCCGATAATATATGCAGAATTTTCGGGAAACTGAATCTGTGCTGGACGATTATCATTAAGACACTTCTTTTGAGGTTTCGACTACTTGGATGTTGAAAAATTCTGACATTAACTTAGAAAACTTTTTGAACGCACTATGGCAGATAGTGTATACTCGTGCAGCGTAGCAGATATACATTAGGTCCATTCTTAGGGTTTATCACTGCATACATAGAATTCCCTTGGTGATTCGTCTAACCGTATTAGGCGTGCTAGTGGAGGTAGAGGTAGCGGAAGACGGAAGGAACCGTATATCATCAATTCTATGCCATTAAAGTCTAAAAAGCACAAAGAGACTTCGGTCTTGTGTTTTCCCCTCGTCTGTCATCCTCCTGCCTGCGTTTGCGCTCCTAGTCAGCGAACCAGGTTCTTTAATAGCACTATCAAGTAAGTTGCCGTGTTCTCACTCTTAGCTCCTAAGTCTGATCAATCTACGTTTTCACCTTTTACCCCCGCATCAGTCTTACTGCAATTAAAAATAAATTTCCACCCTTACTTGAGCCTGGATTTGCAAATAAAGCAAGATTATGCGGAAATGTTAGGAATCTCGATCAGACAGGCGACCAGCGCCAACCGCAGCAGCCACCAACGGCCGACAAGAAACCCGAAAAAACGATAAATAAGCGGCTTCAGCGGACTCAGGCACAGGTCAACGAAGTCGTGGACATTATGCGGGTGAACATTGAAAAGGTTCTTGAACGCGATAAAAATCTCTCACAGCTGGATGATCGGGCAGGTGAGACATTTAACGCATCTTTCATAACCATTTTTTGGTCGTGCCTTTGTAAAAGTATGAAAAATAGTTCACCCACAGGTTCTTTATCGAAGACGAGGTGCAGGATTTTTTTCTTTCAAATCTCTTGATGGTACTCGCTATTGACTGCGTTTAGTTTATATGCA